TTCGTCGGAACTGGTACGCCGAGGGTAACACCGATAACAACCATAGATTTTTGCCTAAGAACTATTTTTATTACACGCAAAAGTGATTGTTGTAAAAATAGTTGTCATGTCTCCCAAAAGATGAAGTATTTAGGAAACACATTTTCGCGTGTCATAAAAATAGTGTCACTATAGAAAATAAAAAAACACGGAAGCATGTAAAGAGTAGTCGTCGCCTTATAACTTTTTCACTTAAAGCCCGCATCCACATTCCTCCTAATAAAATCCCTCTTCCTAATTTTCGACATCAAAGCTCGTCTGGAACTAAAATCAATCGATCGAAACCAAGCTCATCTGGACCAAAAATCGATTGATCGTGTTAATAGCTTCAAAGAAACCCTACTTTTCAAGATTTGCTTCAATTCTTTCGCATCTCAAAAAACCTTAATATCGATATTGGGTTTCCCGTATTCTATCGGTGTGATGCTCACAAGATCTGTAAAGCCCTGCTTCAAATTTCTCCAAACCCTATATTTACCTATATATCCCGCCATTATGGAGAATCGTATGATGAGCCCTAGTTTTCCTCTCAAGACGAGTCCATGATCAAAAATTTAATCCAAAATTTTTATTTATTTGTTTTATTTGATTGGAAATCCCTCATTCTAGGTTACATGATGGTAACCATGAGATTGCCTTGCTAGAGAAGAGACCACAATCACCCTCCCCTTCACTTCTCACTCTAGCAACCACTTTGGTGATGATTGTGAACTTCGGTGATCACTATGAGACAGGAAAAGGTAATTTCAGGTCTGATAATTTTGTGTCCATTTTTTATCAATGTGAACTTTGTTGAAGATTTCGTGTCTATTTTTGATGCTATAAAGTTACAGAGGGAGTCACAAGGCCTAAACATTCACAATATGCTCAAATTGCTGCTGAAACCTTCCTTTTCCGTGAACTTGCAGGTACAACAAACAATTTCTGCCCTGGTAAAGTCTATATCCCTCTATCTCTCTTTGCATAATTTTTAACTGCAGATTTATGCATATTTAATAGTATCAGTATTATTGATAATTTAATGATGCAAAATTATGCTTTGAAAAAAGAAGAGTAACTTCGAAAACCATAATTAAAGAAAGTATCATCTGTTACAGGTGATCAAATATAGCAGAATAAATCAATTTCTTAATATTGGCAATGTGAGGACCTGATTGCAATAGTTAGATAGTAGATGCTTGATTAAATGCATGTAGGGAGCATTCACCGAACAACATTTTGATTCATTTATCTTTCTAAGTTTTAGTGTGGTGTTGTTTTTGGACTTTTTTGCCCTTGTGTCTTGTAGGTAGCATTCACCGAACCATATTTTGATTCAGATCTTAACTTTGTTACCATAGAGGCGGACTCTGTTACCAAGAAGCACTACTAGAAAACATGTGGTTTTCCTACGGAAATTAGCTACAGAATAGCTACAGATCAGCTACAGAATGGGACACCCTAATATAGTAACGGAATAGCTATGGATGCCAATCTGTAGCTAATTAGCTACGGAATGACTACGGAGTAGCTACGGATTGTAATCCGTAGCTAATTAGCTACGGAATGGCTACGGAGTAGCTACGGATCGTAATCCGTAGCTATTCCGTAGCTAATTAACTACAGAATAGCTATAGGCTAGCGACGGAAGAAAATAGTTACAGAATAGCTACGAAATAGCGACAGATTTATAATTTCCATTATTATTATTATTACTCCCATTATTATTATTTTTCATTATTCGACTCTTAATTTTTTTTTTGGATCATTTTCCTTACATATTTAAGACACGAACAATTAAAAATCATACTAATAATACTATTAAAAATAATATTTATAAACATCATAATAATATATAATAATTATAACAAATGTATTTAACACACAAACAAACGATTAAACGAAAAAACTACGTTTAACACATCAATAAAGTGAAATAATCTATCTTTAATTTTTAAATAATGAAAAATGATTATAATAAAGGGAAATATGTATATTTGTATGTGTATGTATGTATTTATGTATGCATGTATGTATGTGTATGTAAGTACATATGTGTATGTGTGTGTATTTAAATGTGTATGTGTATATGTATGTTTATTTTTATCTATGTGTGTATGTGTCTACATGTATGCGTATCAAAAATCGCAAATATTAATAAGTATCACAATATTAAACCATTAAACGAGTAAGAGATCATGAATGTGAACACGACTTTATGAACGATAAAAATAGCTATAAGTTGGTAAAAATATAGATAATCATGTACAATAAAAGTGTGAAGAAAACGAAGCGAAAAAAACAAAATTTGGTGCCCGAATAATCGAAAATAAAAAAAAATCCGTAGCTAATTAGCTACGGATTTTTCTTATTTTTGATTTTTCGGGCACCAAAGATCGTTTTTTCCGCTTCGTTTTTATCACACCTCTATTGTACATGATCATCTATATATTCACCAACTTATATCTATTAATATCGTTCATAAAGTCGTGTTCACCTTTGGGATTAAGTACTCGTTTCACGGTTTAACATTGTAATGTCTATACTTTTCACCAACTTGTGATGAATTTATGTTTGTAATATGTATACTTATATACATGAATGAGTTGAGGTATATCTGTACTTGTATATGTGTATGTATATACTAGACGAATTACCGCGCGTTGCGCGGCACAAGTTAAAAATATATTGTTAAGATATTGAAAAATATATGTTTATAATTGTTATGTTATTGACATTAACTTTGACATAACATTTTTACACTGATTTATGTGTATATATATATATATATATATATATATATATATATAATCTCAACTATTTTGAACAATAATAATCATTAACATCAATCCACCTTCCTCATTAATAGAATTAAATATACTTATCTATTTAGTATTATTTTTAACAATTGTTATGATTGATTAATTTAAATTTTTACTTATGCAATTATTTTCTAATTTCATTAATGATGTTCATTTAAAATACAATTTATTTGTAGCTAACGTTATGTAATTTATAATTTGATGTTATTATCATTTAAAATTATTGTTTATTAATTTTAAACCACTTCTTATTATTAATAAGTTAAAGAAAACTCTTAAGAAATACTTATTATTATTCAAATATGAAACATATACTACATAATAAAGTGATAAGATTAACAATTTGCATTTCAAAAGAGACTTGTATGGATAATATGACATCTCCATGATTTTTATAATTTGATTTTATTATTTATAACTATTGTTCATTAATTTTAAAACCACTTATAATTATTAATAAGTGAAAGAAAGCTTTTAAAAAACACTTATTATTATAGTTAAAATGTTAAACATATACTAATATATAAAGTGATAAGATAGACAATTTGCATTTTAAAAGAGACTTACATGGATAATATGAATAATATGACATATCCTTGATTTTTAATTAATTATTGTTTTGAAGCAACACAAACATACAAATATATATACAATATTTAATAAATATTATCTATATCACATTCCATAACATATGATAGATAACATGAATCTAATCTAATTTACATTAAAATTTCAACCACAACATACAATGATTGTCTTAAAAGAATACTTAAACCAAGAAAAAAAATTAGTATGTAACAAACTTACAAATTAAAAACTTTAACATAATAACATGGCTTGAAAAGTGGTCCAAAGCCCTCAAATCAAAACAAAAACCTTTAGACTTGTTTTCTTTGTGAATTTTGTATGTGATTTGTATTTATATGTCTACTCAAAGAGATTGGCCTTTTATAGTAGACTATCCATTAATTGCTTATTAAACATATTATATAAGTTATAAAACCTTTGAATGGTAAATCATTATTAAGAGACTTTTGAGTGGTATTCATTCAAATAAGAGGTTTCAAATGAATATGGTTTGAGTAAAATGCATCATGGGAGTTTCAAATTAATGTGGTGAAAGGAAAAATGCTTCCTTTATAAGTATATAAAGATATGTGTTTGTGAGTATTTGTATGTAAATGTATTAACAAGCATTAAACGAGTAATGGATCTCGTATGTGCACACGACTTTATGAACGATATTAATATCTATAAGTTGGTGAAAATATAGATAAACATGTATAACAGAGGTGTGGAAAAAACAAAGTTTGGTGCCCGCAAAATCGAAAATAAGAAAAATCAGTAGTTAATTAGCTACGGAATAGCTACGAAATTCTAACGGAAACCAGATTCCGTAGCTAATCCGTAGGTGATTAGCTACGGATTAGCTACGAAATATGTTTTCCGTTAGAATTCCGTAGCTACTCCATAGCTAATTAGCTACGAATTAGCTACAAATTTTTCTTATTTTCGATTTTTTCGGGCACCAAACTGCGTTTTTTTCGCTTCGTTTTTTTCACACCTCTGTTATATATGTTTATCTATATTTCCACCAACTTATAGTTATTCATATCGTTAATAAAGTCGTGTGCACCTTCGGAATCAAGTACTCGTTTCACGGTTTAACATTGTAATGCCTATACTTTTCACCAACTTGTAATGGGTTTATGTTTGTATATGTATGTTTATCTACATGAATGAGTTGTGGTATATGTGTACATGTATATGTGTATGTATACGTGTTTGTGAGTATTTGTATGTGAATGTATTCATAAGCATTATATTGTTAAACCGTGAAACAAGTACTTGATCCCGAAGGTGCACACGACTTTATGAATGATATTAATAGTTATAAGTTGGTGAAAACAGAGATCACCACCACCACCACCACCAAATTAATAGTAATAATCATAATGGAAATAATAATAATAATAATAATAATAATAATAATAATAATATAATAATAATAATAATAAAGGAATGCAAGTCGGTATTGTATAAAAGCACTTATGGTAACTTTTGTATGTGGATGTGGCATGCCCGACCTAGTGGTTAAATCCTTGACATTGTACATACGGTATCCGAGTTTGAATCCTACTGCCCCATTTTTTTTGTGTTTTTTTAGCCTCCGTTTTTTAGCCTCCCAAATATTTCTAGGTTTTGTTTACCCGCTTCGTTTTCCCCCAAATATTTTGAGGTTTCGTTTCCCTCCCGAATCCGGACGCCTCCAATCTCCCACCTTTTCTTCTTCAACCTTTTCGTCTTCAATCTCATATGCAATCGACATCACCATCACCGCTTTAGCATCCACTACCGGTCGACCTTGCTGTCACCGCTCCACGAAACGTATGCGTTGCAGTGAGTTTTTGATTTCTACTTCCTCGGTCGCATATCTCCGGCGGTCGATTTCTACTGCTCGATTTCTTCTCTGCTGCTCGATTTCATCTCCAAGTAAAACCATGGACTTATTTTAATTTATTTTTTGATATTTACTTCATGTATACAACCGCAATGTGAGTTTTCGATTTCTAATGCTCGATTACTTCGTTTTTTTTTCGATTTCTACTGCTCTATTACTTCAGGCTCGATTTTTTTTCTTATGAAGTGTTTGTTTCATAAGTTCATAGAATCTAAATTTCTATTTATCAAAGTTGTGCTTCTTGTTCTACTTTGATTTGTATACCTCCATGATTTGGACCAGTTCTAGACATTTGTTTTGTTGCATTCACTTTGGCCCTATTCCTATTTTCCCTCGTCATCTTTGTTCTTGATTTTCTTCCGTTTTTACATCTTTTGCAGATTGTATGAGCAACTATTTTCCGTGGTGTTTAATTTGGTATTGCTGAGCATAGTCTTGTTGTTTATTATCCTACAGGGTTTCATAGCTGACTTGTGTAATAGTTGTTGGTTGGTTGTCCTTCATGAAGCTTTCTGGTGTTGTATATTCTTGCTATGAGGTGGCTTCCTCCTTCCAAGTCATCTTTTTCCTATTTTGCCCCTTATGTTGCTTTGGTGAGATTCAATATTTATGGTGTTGATACATTCATTTCTGAAATACATTTCTCACTTTTAATTTAGCGAATGAAAATTTTCCATTTTAATTCTTACAAGACCTCTGTGGTTGTGATTGCAGGTGTTGATGGTGCTGTCAAAACACAATGACTTTCTTTTGGTTCTCGTTCCATTATTTAGTGATCACCTGGAAATACAGGTTGTTGAAACGAGTTGTATTGAAGGACTAAACAATTAGTCTTTCGAGAAGACTGAGGACGATATCAATGTTAACCTGGGATTGTGAGGAAGAGGCAAGGTAAATCCAAACGTGTGAAATTTTGATAAATCTTGTCATTTAGAAGTAAGGGCATTATTGTCCATTTAATGGTTTGCATCTAAATATGTTATGTTTATTTTAAAGGCGGTGGTTGTAAGCATTGATCCTTGTAGACAATATTTGACAAATGAAGATGAGGTTGGATTCAAGGATATTAAACTAGAAAACCTGGGTGAGTAAGAGTAGAATTATCAATTATGTATTTTATGTTATACAATAAATTTGAATAACTTATAATTTTTTTTTGTTTTGTTAGGCCCAAATGAGGAAGAGTATGTCTGGTATCATTGCATCAGTGCATTGTAAGTGTTGTAAATAGCAACATATTTTTAAGTTTGACCAAATTTTTTATTTTTTTGTATAGATGATGTTTATTGTAATATTTATTAATTGTTTTTTTATTGTAATGTGTAAATAGCCCTTACATTTTGTTGTATAGATGATGTTTTTGTAATGTGTTAATGTAATAAATTTTTATTTCATTTTGACCAAATTAATTGTTTTTTATTTAAAAAAATTATTGTTTTTTTTAAATAAAAAGTAATTAGCTACGGATTAACTACAAAAAATCTATAGCTATTTACTTCCGTAGCTATTCAATTCCGTAGCTATTCAATTCCGTAGCTATTCTGTAAGAAATCCGTAGCTATTCCGTAGCTATGGTAGCTACGGAAAATTTCGTAGCTATTCTGTAGCGATTATGTAGCTAATCCGTAGCTATAATTTAGCCACGGGCCATTATGCTACAGACATTTTTCCGTAGCAATTCCGTAGCAATCCGCTTATAGCTACGAAATAGCTACAGATTGTGTTGTAGCTATTGAACCAGTTTTCTAGTAGTGAAGCTACGCAAGTGCTCTTTTTACATTACATAATTTGAATATCTTATTTCTTATATTCAATGGTTTTATTTGATTTTTAAACTGTGAAGATACTGGTTAATATGAAGGCGAAAGATATTGGTTCAATTGTTATGAGCTCACCTAGAGATGATCCAAAAAATGGTACCAAAGTTTAAGGATCTTTTGGAGAAGATTTTTATCTTGGATCCTGATAAGAGGTTAACTATACACCAGGAATTGAGTCATAGATTTATCACGGGAAAGGGATAGTGATGTTTCAGTTTGTCACAACTAGCATTTTTAGCTAGGAAATTCTATTCTCATGTAAACATCATCTATTGTAAGGCATGTACTCAAAGTGAAAATCATACTCTATGCTTAATCAAAATCATCCATTTGAATCGAACCTCACTCAAGAAGCCCATAACCTAATACTATACATTTCATATAGTCAACTATGGGTTGAAAACCCTAGAAATCCCGGTTCAAGTTAATATGGACTAGGATCCTCTTATTGGGTCTAATGGACCAATAAACTTTCAATTTGACTATTTTGGGCCAAGGAACCCTAATTGGGCTCTAATTGAACCTACATTCATGAAAGTAAAACATTTTGGGTCATGTGGGCCTAGAATAGTTCACTTTTATCCCTAATGGGCCATGTTGGGCCATAAATGATTTCATTAGCCCTAATGGGCCATAAAGTCCATTCCTTTTATCCTATTGGGCCGTGAACCCTCATAAGGGCCCAATGGGCCGAGAACCATCCATTTGGGCCTCATGATTTCGAAATCAAGCAAGTAGGGCCCAAAACTTTTCCTTTCTAAAAAAATCTCGCCCCCCCCCACACACACACACATATATATATATATATATATATATATATATATATATATATATATATATATATATATATATATACACACACATATTGGTAAAAAAATGAAGAAATCAAGTAAATTACAAGCCTGACACCTAATTTTTGTTTAGTGGTAATCTAGGCTAGGATTTCTTAATCCATCATGTAATAACCAAAATCAACTCCCTCCCCTCTTTTCTTAATTCTCGGCCGAGAGCACCCACAAACACATATATTTTCACTTTCAAACTCTCTCATAATTCCTCTCAAGCTCAAGGAAAATTCCCTCATTTCCCTTGTCATTTTCATGAGTTTGGTGTGTGTTTACAAGAGGTTTTTCATCAAGTTCATCACTCTTGGTAAGTCCTTGCCTAAACCTATGGTTTAACTTCAAGATTACATCAAAAATCTATTCTTAACCCACATCATTTCATGATCTATACTCTTGAACTTCATAGATTTCGAAAACCTCCTCAAGGAAACTCATAGGGCCGAAAATCTTCTTCAAACTCTTCATCAAACCGAGAAAAACAACCCAAGGTGAGTTCATACCCCTTGTTTTTCGGTTTTACTATGTTTTGGGGGAGGATACAAGTTGCTTATGTGATAGATCTATGTATTTGTGCATGTTTATGTGTGTTTTCTAAGTTATATGTTGTGATTATATGAAGAAACTTCTTAGATCTCGAAAACTCTATCAAGTCTTTGTTGGATTAGTGTCTAAGTCCATAACTGTAATTGGTATATACTTGACCCGACCCGACATGGTCCATTTGGGTTGCATGACATCGGGACATTTGGATAGACCTTTTGTGAGAAGAGGATATTTGTGGCATATTAATATATTATAAGTTCTAATATATTAATATGAAATCATATTATTTAATTAGTATTGATCAAGAATTAATTTGGAATTAATTTAGTGATCAAAAGAGACTAATTAAATATATGGGGATTGATTGTGTAAATCATTCATTCTTATATATGTGGGCTTATGATCAATGATTCCTTATGTTGGGTTTAACCCATGTGGTGACCCATGTATACTCCATGGTGGTTAAAACCCATGGAGCATAAGGAATGGGTAAAGTCATGGGTTACATGGTGTAACCCTAATGTGCACACTATATAAAGACCTCATTGGTTGGTGAAATCGACACTAGTGCATACACAAGAGGGCAAGCCGATTTCTAGAGTGAAGTATCTCTTCTCATGGTTATTCCAAGTTGTTTTGATGTTGTGTGAACCATTTGAGGTGTCACAATTGGGGCACTAGGCTCTTGACCTCCATGGAATCAAGCTACAACAAAGAGGTATGTAATTCTACTAGATTTTATATTACATGTACTTTATATTATGCTAGTTAGAACAATACCTTGGAAAAATGATATTTGCATGTATAATAGAGAAAACATAGACCCAAGGTATTTAGGGTTGCATGTACACCATAGGAGTGTTAGAATGCTCAAAACCCAACAGCGGTATCAGAGCCTAGGCTTGTTTTCAATTATACTTGATGCAAATTGCTGAAAAAATCGATTTTCTGGCTGTCTGGGCACTGGACTCGCCGAGTCCACTGATGAACTCACCGAGTCCATGAAGAAATTCATCCTACTCGTTGAGTAGGTTCATACACTCGACGAGTAGGAGCTCCTGACAGCATATTTTCGAGTTTTTTGGCTGGAATTGGACTATGAACATTACCCTAAGGTGTTTTTGAACTAATAAACATGTTTTTGAAGTGGTAATGTTCATGCTAATCCAATTTCAAAGATAATTTTCAAAATTTCAAGATTTGTATTAGTTTTATGTTCATGCTAATTTCTTGAAGATTGATGATTTGAATTATCTTGTTCTTATGAGTTAGCTTAGATTAATAGAAACGTTATGAGATAATATGTTTTCAATCCAAATTAATCTAAAAGTTGTTCATAATATGTGTTTTGTAACTTGTCCTCAAGTTATATGAAAAGTCACATTTATAATTATTAAAACTCATAAGATTTCCATAAGTTATGAAAAATGGAGAGTCTCAATTTTAAATGTTTTAAAGTCTTCCATAACTTGTCCTCAAGTTATGGAACTTGAAGAGTTTTTCATTAAAACTACTGTAAACACATAAGTTATGGAATTGAAAAGTTTTTGAATAGTTCAAAACTTTCCCTCAAGTTTTGGAATTTGTAAAGTTTCCCCTCATGAATGCTTTAATTCCAAATCAAACCCTAGAATTTTAAAATTTTAAAATTCAACCCTTATACTATTATTATAATTTTAATTATATAGATATGTATAAGATAAAGTCAATCTTACCGTTAGTAGGCCTCATTCACGAAGCCGGTCTATAAGGGGGGTATAAGGTTACTGCCTATAAAATGGCAGTTTAATGGGTGTCCACTCTCACCCACCGCTTCCTTGACTGGTGGAGGGTCGTTAGCCGAACGCGTAGGATAAGGACTATAATTCTCCCTTCATTAAAAGTATAATGATAAATACTAAGTAACTAAACACTTATAAATTCCCAATCTTAGTTACTTAGGAAAATGTGAAAAGGTGCTAACCCATGAAATTGCAATTTGCACCTTTGTTAAGTCGTTAGTGGAGCGTGTGTGGTTAACCGACACAGTAACATGGGACTAAGAATGTATGGAAAAGGGTAACTTAATGTTTATCATAGATTGGTGGAGTGCGTGTGGTTAACCGACACATCAATTAGGTGATAAAGTTAAGGGTACCAAGTTAATTTGCATGGTTATTCACACCTTGTTTGTGATCCTCGGCATCCCAGTCACAAACTTGAGAGGGCACAATCGAGATTCAAACATGCCATTGAAAGTTCAATGTATCTCAAAAGATCTAGGAGTTTCAAATCCAATTAAAACTTAATTATATTTCATTTTCATGGTGGAAATTGGTAAATCGTCATTTACCTACCTTCAAATATTTTATAACTTGGATTACGACATCCCTCTTCCAGTTATAAATAGTTTGTTGGGTCCTAGCCTTAATATTTCATATTGGGTGTTATATTAAGGACTAAAATCAACTAAACTTGAATTTCTCCCTCATAAATGTCTATTTCAGACAACTATGGTCGTCCCAAATCTTTAGGAACAAGCCTTCCTAATGAAGATGATTCACATGGCAATCAAGGTAAAAGATTAATCCCTTTGTTGTGAATTAATGGGACTGGAAATCATGCTTCATTTCCTCCATCTCCTCCAATAATTCTCCCTATCCCACAAGTTTCAAGACTTGAAAAGTTCTAAGTCACTCAATCCTTATTGGTAAGCAAAGACTATATGTGCTTACATCTTGGAGGTTAAGTCACATATTGGCAAGACGGGAGAGTCAGATGTCGAAGTCTCGAGGTAGCTGGCTGTTGACTTGGTTCTTCAATCACTCCCTGATGACAGATCACGACATGACCCTTAGTGATCTTACCTATTTGCTTGATGTTGCTAAATCCTCAATGATTTGGAGCATTGGTAAAGCAAATTAGATTGGAAGATCTACTTCCCAAACCTATTTGGACATTGACAATAGTGACATTGGAAGTCCAGAAAAGCTTTATCTTACCAATAGAAAGGGAAAGGGATTGGACATGGTCAAGTCATTTGACCAATGGTAAAGAGAAAGGCTAAGTCTGAGACAATCAAGTTTACCATTTCCAAAAGGTCCATATGTTTC